TGTTCTATGCTCAGGATCTATCGTGCTTTGATTCGATTCAAATTGGACAATGGGTCTTTGTTCTATGGTTCCGCCAGGACCTCGGCCCTGAAGATGCTGGACCCCATTCACCATCTGGGGCTTCGGCTCTGCACCGGTGCTTTTCACACTTCTCCAGTCCAGAGTTTGTACACTGAGTCCCACAAACCTTCTCTTCACCTCCGTCGTTTAAAGCTTTCTCTACAATATGCTACTAAGCTTCAATCCTTACCACGGCATCCCACCTGGGATTATGTTTTTCTTCCTCGGTGGGCAATGCTCTTTCAGAACAAACGGTCTGCTATTCCTCCATTTGGCCTTCGTATCCGGGCGTTGCTGGCTGAATTGGGTCTGGCATTGGATGACATTGCTGTCCCCAATGATCAGCTCATTCCACCATGGCTTATTACCATCCCATCCTGTGACCTTTCCTTGAGTCATCTGGGGAAGGCGGATACTCCCGATTAGAAGTACCGTTTTCTTTTTGCTGAACATCTTTCGAACCATTCCTCTCTTCCCATTTACACAGATGGTTCGAAATCAGGTGACTCTGTAGGTTCTGCCATGGTTTGCTGTGGCTCGGTAGTTGCTCACAGGATCCCCTCTACAGTTCTGTGTTCACTGCCGAGTTGTATGCTATTTCTCTTGCCCTGGATCATGTAGAAGCTATGCAGTACAGTAATTGTACTATTTACACTGATTCTCTTGGCTCTCTACAGGCCCTGGAATTGCTTAATGTTAGTTCTCACCCTGTTATCGACGATATTCAACACTGATTGGCCCACTTTTCTCTATCTTCTATTTCCATCCAGTTTTTCTGGATCCCTGGCCACGTCGGTATTCACGGGAACGAGCTCTCTGACACCGCAGCTAAGTCTGTCTGCTCTGGTGCCATCACGGCCATGCCTGTCCCATACATGGACTATGGTCCTGTCTTCAAGGCGCGGCTTCGTGCCAGTTGGCAGTCGACTTGGAGTGAGCAACGCCATAATAAGCTTTTCCAGATCAAACCTTCTGTTGGTCTTTGGCCGTCTTGCTTCCGTAACGATCGGAAGGAGGAAGTAGTCCTGGCAAGGCTACGCATTGGTCATAGTTTTTTTAACCCATCGTTTTCTTTTATCAGCTATTGACCCACCGATGTGTAGCCATTGTGACACTCAAGTCACAATAGCCCAACATTTTACTGTCGTGCCGTCGTTACGACCGTGAGCGGCGGCACCATTTTAGACACATTTTTTCTAAAAGTTTACCCCTGACGCTGGACAGTGTCATTGGTAATGGTGACACTGTCCGATTAGATTGTATTTTTAATTTTTTACACACTATATGTCTTTTTAATTCTATATAAATCTTTTACCGACATCTATTGATTTTTAACTCGCTGTTTTTTACATTTTACTTTAATCTACTTTCCTTGCTTTTACCGGTTGTTTGGCGCAGATAGCCTAGCTGCTTTACGCCATAAAACACCAACCAACCAACCACTTCTGTAATTTCTCTTCTCGTTCTTCTTGTTTCTTTTCTTTTTCCTCCAACCACTTCTGTAATTTCTCTTCTCGTTCTTCTTGTTTATTTTGTTGTTCGAGCTGCCACTGTTGCAGGTTTTCTTGCAGCTGCTGTTGTCTCTCTTCTTGTTTTATTTCTCGTTCTTCTTCTTTTGCTGCTCTTGTATTGCTGCCATCAAGTCTGCTAAGCTGTAGTTTGATTTGCCGCTTCTCGTTTCCATTCACCAAGGTACAGGATAGTTCTAGAAAGCAGAGAATGTATGTAAACTTGAATAGACTGTTGTAACGTATCCTATCGTTGGCGTGTTCTTTTAGCTTATTTGCTAAAAATACTGACAAGTCCAGTTCACGTAATGATAACGAATCAATTTACTTCTTTAACGTTGGCTACAGCTACATTCACTTGTAGACATAGCTTCAAATATGATGTTTCAGCGAAATTCTGAGACTAACGGAACCTACACTTAACTTAATAAGCTTTGATCGATAAACAAAAACGTAACTCACTGAGTAACTTAATAGCAGAAATGAAAAAAAAACTTCATATTATTTGTAGAGCTCAAAAACTGATAAAAATGTTTAAAGTTTAGTTAATCAAAACTGCTTAGTTATTACAACATTTCATTAAAAAAAACAGTATAAATTAAAAATTCTATCATGTACCCCTTTATTCCACTGATTGGGCCACCATGGTATATCTGCAACAATAAATTTCCTTAGATGTCCACTATTGTCTTCAATCAGATTTATTTTAGTTTTTAATTCTTCTTTAAATATTGTCTCTTTCTTTTAATCCTCTTCTTAAATTCCTGCCTATTACCTCTGAATCTTCTTGTATTTTTCTATGTCTTTCTTCTTGATCTTCTTTTATCTTTGTCCTTGGTCTTTTAATTTCCTACTATGTTCTTCTATTTTCTTGTCCTTTTCTTCTTGTTCTTCATTTTGTTGCGTCAGCGAGTCACATGACTACTGGGACGCCACGTTTCTAGAACTATCCTGTACTTTGGCGAATGCTCTAGTATTTACTAGATATAGGGTAGTCGGGTATATAAAAGAGGGTGACAACGTGACAGGGGAAGGTAATGTGTGTGTAGATAGTGAGTAATTGAACTGCAGTCACAGGGTATTGTTGAAGTTAACGTTTGTCCGTTATAGTGT